CACGCCTGTAATCCCAGCACTTTGGGAGGCCGAGGCAGGTGGATCACGAGGTCAGGAGTTCGAGACCAGCCTGACCAACATGGTGAAACCCCGTCTCTTAAAAAAAAATAATAATAAGAGTGAATAATTTTAAAAGTCATAATAATGTGATAGCATATTCTCTTATATAAGTTACACATTTTCCATCTCTACCAAGAAACACATTGCCATTGAACCCCTGATAGAAGAAAACAGTTCTCCTGTCATGTCCAGGGTTTCTTGTCAAGACCATAATATTTGCTAAAACGATTAATTACTTTATTGAACCACAAGATTTATTTTAGTCAGGTGCCACATAAGATTTCTTTTACCATCTATGTTATAAAACCATTTATTTTGGAAACTTATTAGCAGTTCTTTGGGAGAGATGGTTCCTACACATTATAATAATAAGGTATGTCTTGGGGGCTCCCAAACCCTTTCACCTTCAAGTCACTTGTGATGTTTTGGCCTTATGCAGCCCACTTAGAGAAGCCTTAAAGTTTAAAGATTGAGACTGTGGGCTGTAAAGCAATACTGCCTGCCACTCGCAGCTACTGAGACCTGAGGCAAGTTACTTGACCTCTCTATGATTACTAATTTTCATCTTTAAGGTTCAGTGGTACACACTAGAGAAGGTTGTAAGAATTAGTTATGTTTCTACTTGTGCAGCACTTTAGTATATTACCTGACATCTTAATTGCCTAACAAATAACAGCTACTATTATTGTAGTTCTTTGGTTTGTGCACAGCAAACCACCTTCATGGGAGCAACAGCATCAAACAGGTAATAATGGCTAGATAACAATGATGTGCAGAAACCAGTCAACAAATTTTCATTTGCATATTATTAGTTTTAGTTAGCATTTAAATCAGCTGGTAGGGTTATCTTGATTATGTTCATTGTCATGTATTTGTTTACACTTAAAAATTTCAGTTAAGTCTTAAGAATTCAGCATTATTTAAAAGTTTGCTTGGGTTTTTGTTTTTTTGTTTTGTTCTGTTTTTGTTTTTCCTATGGATTATAATAGAACATTTGGTAACTTTCTCTTATTTATTTTAGGTTGATACTGTAAAGCGCTTGTTGATTAAAAAATTACCTCCTGTTCTTGCTATTCAACTAAAACGATTTGACTATGACTGGGAAAGAGAATGTGCAATCAAGTTCAATGATTATTTTGAATTTCCTCGAGAGCTAGACATGGAACCTTACACAGTTGCAGGTGTCGCAAAGCTGGAAGGAGATAATGTAAACCCAGAGAGTCAGTTGATACAACAGAGTGAGCAGTCTGAAAGTGAAACAGCGGGAAGCACAAAATACAGACTTGTGGGTGTGCTTGTACACAGTGGTCAGGCGAGTGGGGGGCATTATTATTCTTACATCATCCAAAGGAATGGTGGAGATGGTGAGAGAAATCGCTGGTATAAATTTGATGATGGTGATGTAACAGAATGTAAAATGGATGATGATGAGGAAATGAAAAACCAGTGTTTTGGTGGAGAGTACATGGGAGAAGTGTTTGATCACATGATGAAGCGTATGTCATACAGGCGCCAGAAAAGGTGGTGGAATGCTTATATACTTTTTTATGAACGAATGGACACAATAGACCAAGATGATGAGTTGATAAGATACATATCAGAGCTTGCTGTCACCACCAGACCTCATCAGATTATTATGCCGTCAGCCATTGAGAGAAGTGTGCGGAAACAGAATGTACGATTCATGCATAGCCGAATGCAGTACAGTTTGGAGTATTTTCAGTTTATGAAAAAACTGCTTACATGTAATGGCGTTTACTTAAACCCTCCTCCCGGNCAAAGAAAGTAGTCCGTGGCTCTGCCAGTGATTGGTACATTGCTTTGGATTTTGATTTCTATTATACTAATACTTGGTTTGGTTCTTTAGTAGGCTGCTTTATTTTTTTCTAAACCATGAGAATCTTGTTTGAAGTTTGGAATACAGAATAAAAATAACTCTTGGCCGCAATAGTGAGAGGAATCATATTAAAATAGTCTAAAAATGGCCTTTTGTTACTCAGAAGCTGACTTCTGCTTCTATTGCCTTGTATCATATCTTTGACCTCTCTGTACCAAAGATTACAAGATGAGTCTGGGCACAGTGACCTGTAATCCCATCACTTTGCGAGGCCAGGGTGGAGGATTGCTTCAGCTCAGCAGCTCAGCAAGACCAGCCTAGGCAACATAGTGAGAACCCCATCTCTTCAAAGAAGATTTTTTAAATTACCCGAGTATGGTTGTGCACACATGTAATCCCAGCTACTTTGGAAGGCTAAGGTGGGAGGATCACTGGAGCCTGGGAGGTTGAGGCTGCAGTGAGCCATCACTGTGCCACTGCACTCCAGCTTGGGCAGCAGAGCAAGACTCTGTTTCAAACAAAACCAAAGATTACATGATGAAACGTGAAAAGTGTAAGCTACTTATGAAATTTATTAATTCTTTGAACAATTTTCTAAAAAGAAAAAACTAAAAAATAAAAAGAAATGTGTTAGGTTTTAGCTTACCTAGAGTGAATTCTGACATAGATTAAAATGGTAAAAATTAAAATGGTTTTCTTAAGTTTCTAATTGTGAAAGTATAGAGGCCATGATATGTCAAGATAAGGGAACGGGGTGGTATTTTGTTGTTGAACCTGGGAAGAATTTGTTAATGGATTTTTAGAGGACAAGCTTTCACCTGTTTTGTAACTCTGAGAGAATAGACCAAGTCATAGTATTTATCCATTGTTTTAATACTAGAAGCAACCTTTACTGGTTCTCTCCTCAGCAGTAAAGGAAGATCTTTTTTTTGGTTCATAGAGACTCATCCTTTTACTATAGGAAACAAGTTATTTAATTAATAGTCATAGATTTTTTTTTTTGTTTTATTTTAGGTATGATGCATTGTGTATTCTCCTTTGTCACAGCAAGAATGTACGTTTTTGGTTTGCTCATAATGTCCTTTTTAATGTTTCAAATCACTTCTCCGAATACCTTCTGGAGTGCCCTAGTGCAGAAGTGAGGGGTGCATTTGCAAAACTTATAG